GTCTCTAAAATGGAGTCACGCATGCGCCGTGGTCTTGTAATAAGAACAGAGCTTTTGATTTAAGAAAGGTTTGTTTGTTAATAATAGCAAAATATTACAAAATATTGGTTCAAGTATCAAAAATTGTATTATTTACTTTTTAAACAATTTTAAATTAACTGTCATGATGCATGTCGTGCTTATAATGATAATTCCCTTTTTTTTATTTTGTAGAATTCCAATATCTCACGACTCTCGCTCATCTCTAGACCCCTTAAGACTTCACATAACCATATATCGTTGTCCGAATATTCTGTGGAAATTAGGGGCTGTGTGGCACTGGTCTGCCATAATTTTTTATGATCGACAAGTGTGAAAAGCGCGATCGGCAGAGAACAAACGGGGCGCACCGAATCCTTTGGCCAGGACACGCAACATGGCATTAAAAGGGGAGAATAAAAGCCGAGAAGGAACGTGCCTGAGGCCCGAAAAAAAAAAACTTTGTTTGGACTCTGCCGAGTGGCCAATAATTATGCCCAAAGATCGGTGGGCATTTGGAATGCTTGCCGCATTTTCATTTTCCCATTCACTTTCAAGACGATTTTCCGGAGGGGTTTTTTTCTTCGTCGCTCTCCTCGGGGACTTTGAGGCGGCCGCGCAAAGGATCCTCTGAGTGGTCTGGCTCATAAATCTGCTGCCCAAGGGGAAACCGATCCGAACGGAAGCAATTCCGTTTTTTATTTTATTTCAGTTGCATTTAATTTCGGCTCGGCAATTGCTGTTGTTTTCGTTTTGGATTTTAAATTAGGGCAACAAAGAGACCGCAAGAGCGTATTTGAAATTCGGCTACAGATTAACGCCCGGCGATAAGGTCGGAGGGGGTCTTGGAAATGGGAATCGGAAACAAAATCGGGGTGACAAAACCCGGGCTGGGCGATTGCATTTTTGATTACTAAGTATTCAATCGATGGATGGCAATGAATAATTAATATCAAGGTAATAACAATGTTAATCCTTTACTTTAAAATTTATGCAGAGTTTTTGAGACTTAAAAAACGAATTAAAATAGAACTTTAAGGCGTAAACAACTATAATATGTGTATTCGCAGCTTTAATTAATTTATTAATATATGTATATTGACCTTAGTTGGTTATTTTCCAAGCTAGGAATATAACTTCAAGACAGTATTAAGCATAGCAAATACTAATCCATCAGACCGCCCCCAAAAAAACTCGTAAACAACTTTTGGGAACCATTTTGGCAGCCATTTCGCGGCTTTTAGCACAAAACTCAACTGTTTTGACAAGTTTCTTCCACAAACAAACAAAAATAAATAAAAGGCTGTCGCGTCGCAAGTTAATTAAGCAATTCAATGGCTGACCTTATTGAGTTTTAGCGAATAAATATAAAATATATCCGTGCCATTGTTTATGGTTATGAAGCTAATGGATTGTGAAGATTGTCTCTATTCATAGCCAGACATCGGACATCCATATATCATGCCTATCGCTAACGTTTAACGATGACTGGCGGCCACCCAATCTGCATAGACATAAAAGATTTTGGATTTTAAATAGGAAGCTCAGAAGAATTCAGTGGAAATGTCCCATGGAAATGGATTATCTTAATTATCTAAGGCAAGATTATAAAGTAAATTAGCAATCAATGCAAGTGCCTTAATTAAATAACAATTAACTCTTCTTTTGTAAAATCAATAAAAGTTACTGAACATTTTAAAAGAATTTCTAAAAATATTTTTTTTGAATTCTAGCATTAAATTAGATCGAAATAATATATAAAGTAGTCTTTGTAATTATGAAAGTAAACTCATTATTTAAAATATAAATCTCATAAAGACTAATAAATTCTTCAAAATCAGTTTCCTATTTTAATTCGAATTCCAGAACTTCGACAGCAGTTAACATTGTCTTTCCCCTGCTTTTCGGTAAGTCTTCTAACATTTTCGAAAATGCCACCGCTAAGGGCGTATAAGACTTTTAACAGTAACTGCGAGAGTAACAGCAGCAATTGCAAGAGAGCATGTGCGCAAGAGTGCGACAGAAATAGCTGACATTTCGAAAATGAGCGCAAGAGCACAGAGTGCGAGAGGGCGGGAGAGGGAGAGAGAAGGCAACCTGTAGGCAGCAATAATCGAAGAGCGAGAGGCAGCGATGCGATGCGGTTCGTATTGCCTCGGTTCGCTGTTGTTGTTTTCGTTATGATTATGAGAGTCTATCAAAAACTTGTCTGCTGCGCTGGCGTCTGTGTGTGTGTACTGATGAGTATGTGTGGGTGCCAATGTGTGTGTGTTGTAGTGTGGGTGTGAATATGATGGCAGATATGAAAAGGGCAGATCCGCTTTTTCGTTGGTCGACGCTGGCGCAAAATGAGCGAATATGAGCGTTATGAATTATGTATTTGTCTTGTACATAAACAAACCCTCTCTCCTATACACACATAGACACACATGGCCTCGGGTGCCTTGTGCTGGTGTTAGTGGCTTCTTCTTACTGGTGCGCAAGGTGGCTCCCCCCGCCCTTCTTCCGCCCTATTCTTACTTTTTTCTGCTTGCCGTCTTTCTTTCGCCTTTTAATATGTATTATCGGCCCCTCTTCTCCCGCTTTGCTGTTCATTTTATTGGCGCTCTCTTCGGGTTTCCTTTGCTCTCGCCAGAATTTATGACAGCCTCTGCCCCTTCCCCACACACTCCACCATGCTGCTAGCAGCGACGCCGACTCCGACAGCGTTATTAATGCCTCCTCTTATTTCCAGCTTATTGTTGTTCTTTCCCGAGGAGCCGCGTAGTGCCCTCCCTTTCGCGCACGACTCCATCACATACCCGGAGATTCCATAATAAAGTCAACTTGCAGCGGAGAATTCCAAGGATTTTACAGGGGGTAAGTAGCTTCCTGCCACAAGAATCCTAGATAGTTTCTTTATTCGCGATTTTTTACCTAAAACCATGATATAAAAAGGATAATCATAAAATACGTTCGAAAACATATTAAAGGGGTCTCAAAAGTAAAATTAACTAATTCGTTCTTTAATTTTTACCCATTAGAAAACCTTATTTAGCGATTTATCCCAAAACCCATTAAAACTCAATGTAATTTTTTACTCCCAGATGTTTCTTAATTATAATTATTTCGATTGCCTAATGGTTTTTCCATAAACAATTGAAGCTTAGTCAGTGTCCCTCCAATATAACCTTGAAGACAGTCAGTTAATCATAACTCATTTGTCACATGTTTTATAAACCGCCCAAGAATTTGCAATTAAAATCGAAAACAAAAAGTTTTTATCGCCGACAGGTGTTGCTGAAATACAAAAGAACATTTGCAATTAAATTTTGGGAGCTGGTACAAAAGTTTCTTTTATTAAAAAACAAAAACTTGAAGTGCTAAAAATTCCTGAAAGAGAGGGAGGAAACGCAATTAGAGAAGTGGGAGTTGCCCGAAAGTCAAAAAGAAACGAAATGCCAAGAACCGAAAAAGAAACATTTTGATGAATGGCTCATAATATTCACACACACACACCGATAGCTCTCACTCCCCACACAAGCCGACGAATAAGCGAAGTCACCCAAGTCAGAATTCTTCGATAAAAGGGGGCGGGGGCGCAGCGTCGGTGGTGGTGGTGGTGGATTCCATACACGAACACAATAGCGAAAGAACACAAAATCTTATAAAACCGAAATTAAAAAAGGCAACAACAACAATAGTAGCGCTCATAACTGCGCTCCAGAGCGGGACAGGCAGCGAGCGAGCGAGAGGGGGAACAGGAGAGCGCAACAAATGGCAGGCGTGCGCCCCAACTAGTGCGAGCGAGATGGCAGTCTGCCCAAGGGCCCAAAGGCGAGAGGGGTTCCTCCCATAAATTATGATAAATTATTAATCGGGGAGTGCGAGCGAGAGCGAACAAGAGGGCGAGCGAACGAGAGAGGGCGAGAGCATGCCCCTAAAAAGAGTGAAGAATATTACAACAACAATGGCGCAAAGGTGAGCCGCAAAAGGCGGAAGGAAGTCGCTGCCGCTGTCGCAGTCAACGTCGACGCAGCTTATTGTACCCGCTATTCGAAGAGTTCAAGGGGTATACAGATACAGTGTCTTTGTATGTGTATGTAACGGGGATTGGCTTTATCAAGTAGACATTCTATTAAGATCATGGGAATTATGGGAGCTACAGATACCAGACTTGCTATACGAACATTAATTAGCTTTTCAAAGGCATTTTACAATTGATTTAATTCTTTAATTATCACACAAATTCGTAAAAATTCAGAGCTATCTGTAGATCGGTTTTTGTATTTATAATCACACCCAAATCTAATAGGAGAAGTAATAATATTCCTTGCAGGCAGTCGCCAAAAGTATGCAATTTTTATTATCCAAAGTAAACCATACTTTAAAAAGCTTTCGCATAATATTCCACAGTGTGCCCGGTATTTTTATAGTCAGTGCACTATAGCCTTTCCATATATTGTTGTTCTTTCTTTTTTGCGGCGAGAGAGAAGCTCATAATTTGCCGAACAAGTTTCATAAACGTCTCAGTTCTCTCGTTTCTCACTTCTCAGGTAAAAACAGCGACTGCGGCTGAGCATCCGAACAAAACAAAAAAAAACTACAACACTCCCTCTTGAGAGCGAGAGGGCTGGCAACAGTAACAGTAACAGCGTGCGAGCGAGAGGCCGAGCAATTTAATAAAAATTATGATGAGAGGGAGCGAGAGGGCGCATATGAAAAATTATATGAAATGCGAGCGAGAGAGCGTGTGAGGCGAGTGTGTGTGAGTGAGTGAGCATAAGGTGGGTTGGCTGAATGACTGTCAGGATATGCCAGTTGCTGTAATAATAAAAATGCAGACACACACGCACACACACACTGTGAAACCGGTTGCTGCGCTCACGAGTGCCGAGCGCCGCGAGCCGAGCGGCGAACGGTGAAAGCCGAGCGCAGACGAGCGCCGAGGCGAAGTGTCGGGTCGAGCGGCTGTTTTTGTTTGTGTCAGTGTAATTTTCGACGCCGCGCTGAACGTTCGCAGAGCCACGTTGCGTATGCGTAACGCGCACAGTTTCCCAGACCAGCCGACGACTCCTGCGTTTTCCGCGAAAATTCTGACAAACGATGACAATCAACGGCAGCCGTAGTTTAGCCCTCCGCTAAACACAGAGTATCAATTCAGTAAACCAAATCGATCCGCTCGAGCGAAGGCCAGCGGTAATACGTAGCCGCCACCACTGCCGTCGGCAAAACGCAAAGTGTCGAGAATAAAACCAAAAACCAAATCGAAAATTCTGTTATTTTTCCGCTCGGTGAAAACACAAAATAATATTTAAAAAAGAAAATATGACAAACACAGTGCAATGTTCAACCAGTATGATTAGAAAATATATTTGAAAAAAGCCAACAAGCAACACTCACCACACGAAACGGAAGTGCATTCGAAAAAGTTCTCTTGATGAAAAATCACTTGTCCAACGTTCTGTGTGCGATGCGTAGTGACTTCAAGGATAATCACCAGGAGACCATCAATAAAATGATACAATTTGGTACAGTGAAATATGGCATTGTCAAACAGCTGAAGGATCGCGCTCGCAGCGCCGACAAAGGTGAGCTTGCAAGGAAAATAAGTTGCTTTAAATAAAGGAACTTTGAATTTGATAGCAACCAATAGGAAAATTGGGAGAATATTTTAAAATAAAGTTGAATAATTAAAGCTATTAAAGCTAATTGAGGAAATCTTGGTTAAAAGGGAAATTTATAATATAAAATTAAAGACAATGACTTTATTGAAATTTTAAAACAGCAGGCACAACGATATAAACTGAAATGTTTAGAACTATTTTTGACATAATTGCTTCACAGAGAAAAATTTGGTAAAAAAAATAAATGCTGTCTGCTTGAAATTATGTTATCACATGTTTCATTTGTCATTTGTAAACGCTTTTAACACAAAGAGAGAAAAAAAAATAGAAAGTCTTTCCCCATAAAACAAAATTTAAAAGCCTTTTCAGAAAGACATACGTTTTTGAACCATTTAAAATTGGTTATCAAATTTGTCATTATTGTTGTTTCCTTTCGTCTCGCCATATTTCTTGATCGGCCTACGGGCAGCGATTTAACCGTTTTCCATTCAACTGATAAGACTCGAAAATGGAAACCAAAAATTTTGGTCAAACATTAATAATTGTGACTTCTTTGGCACTGTCGATATCAGAAGCTATAGAAAAACGTAGGCAGCCCATTTAAATACTTTTTAAAATGCGCTTTAAAAATTCAGAAGACCTAGACCCTTTACAGTGTTTTGCAGCGCTGACTGCACCAGTTTTTCCCCCCCCTTCGGTTATATGGATAAATTTATACAAATAAATTATATTTCTTCGGTTTAGCATTTCCAGTTTGTGATTTGTTTTAATTTAAACGTCAACAGCTGCTATTGGTTAAGGCCCTCGCGCGCCCCCTCCCTCTCGACCGATCTTGTTTTTTATGATAAATCAAAAATCGATTTCGTTTTAATGGAGCAACTTAAAATCGATATGATTTAAATATGGCTTCGTCGGATTTTATATAGAAGAAATAAGTTTTGGGAAAGGCACAAAAATGAGTTTGATTGAGTTTGGTTTTTAGTGTTTTGTTTTTGGCTTTTGATTTTTTTGGAGGCCTCTTGGCAGGCGTGTTTCTTTAATTGGTTTTGAAAGCTTCGATTTTTGGACATTTGCATGCCAGCAGCAAACTTAATTATATTTATTGATATTTTTGAGACTGATGAGGCTCAAATTACAACACAAGGCAACAGACAGTAACTCAATTTAATTTTTTTATATTAAATTAAAGTTGAATAAAGTGCAAAAGTGTTTCCTTTTTCTTCCTCAAAGTGTGTATATATTTTTATCCGATATTCTTAATTACAAATGAGTTCTCATTAAATTTGGAAAATTGCTGCCCCATAAGCTTTAAAAAGGTGATAAACAGTTTCAGTTGTGTGTGAGAGTATATACATTTTTTTTGCTTTTATCAATTTGTTTGGCGCGGTTTTTATTTATAAACCGCATATGATGGCATATAGGAGGTGGAATATATACAGTATAGTTGTGTTGTTGTTGCTGCTTCGGGCATTAATAAATGTTAACTCATTAGTGCGGGATAATAAATTAAATTAATATCGCAAAAAATGAAAATCGAAGCAGATTCGCAGCGAGTTGGCGCTTATTTCCATATGATTTATATAGGGTATATACACACACACCTTTTTATATACATGTTTATATATCGCCAGTAAATATGGAAATGCCCATCAATTTGTGTCGCTACATTTTGTAATCGAAGTCCCTCGCGCTCGCATAACTTAATGACATTAATTATTTAATTATTTTTATTTATGCGATTTAGCTTTTTTCCATTTACTGCCTTAATTCGCCCAACATCGCCACAAAGTACCCATGAAAAATGTATGCCTAAAACGGAGGATCTGACCTATGGCAGGCGCAATCCGATCGATCGGACGGGACTTGGGATATATTATTCAATTATGCCACTCACTCGATTTGCCTCTGCTGTTTTTAACTCGCACTGTTTGTGTATATTTTATGTAGTGTTTTTTTTTTCTTTCGAATTTCGTATTTCGGTTTTGGTTTTATTTTTGCTTTTCCGTTTTGCATTTTCCAATTTGCTGAACATTTGTTTCACCTCAGGCCACCGAGCTCACGGTTGGTTCGCAGCGATTTGCATATTGAATATGACGATGGAATAATTGAAAGTCAGTCCCAGAACTAAAGTCGACGCGTATGCAAAATTCAATTCATAGAGGAATGAACTGAAAGATGTCGAGGTGGAGGTACGAGTCCAAGGAAGTCGCCAGTTCTATAACTAAAGGTTTACTTAGGGGGAATTTAGGAGAAATGGATTTTCAAAGTGCTAAACAATGATTGAATTTGTTGTAATTATACTTTCTAAAAAGCAATCTAATCTAAACATTAAATGAATAAAATATTGATATCATTCAGGCCAATTTAAATGAACATTCTATAATATTAAATTATGAAATATAGTGCTTTATGACTCTTTAACTTAATTATTAATTTTATAATAAAACAATATAAATATAATAGTTTAATATTTAAACCCTCAGCTTGATAACTATGATTGAGTCTGCAAAAGAGCCTTAAGCTAGAAGTATAATAAATTAACGAGCTTGAATTTAGCATACATTTCTTCTGCAATATTCCTAGAATGTATTTCGGTTAATTTAATTTACCAGTTTTCGGTTGTTGGGGTAAAAAATCGATTCGCTGAAAGCTGAAATAAACCAAAACAAAATTTATGAGCGTACCACAATTTCGTTGAAAATATTTGGACACATAAAATGCCAAAAAGTTGACATTGGTTAATGAGTTGATGGACAGACTTTTTTGGGGGGGTTAGCAATTATGAGTATCTAAGGGGTGACTTGGCTAAATTATAATACAACACTCTCAACACTCTTCGGGGATTTATTCGCTTCAGTTGCGCATGCAGAGCGGGAATAATTCATTCGAATTTAGCGAAATTTATGACTTGACTTAATCCACCTTTAAACGGGCCCGATTTAATTTATATAGAAGCGGTTAGTGCGTGTGTTTTTCGACAATGGGAAATATAATTTCCTGCCGACAGCAGCGTCTCGTTTCACAATTTCATATTTATTTATCTGGCCCCTGGGCGGAATGAACCTCGCCCGCCCGCCCAGTTGTCAGTAGAACAAAATACACTTTTTGAAGACACAAAAAATAAATCTTTAAACGGCTCCCCTCCCGCCCCACATATACAAATATATATATATATATATATATATATATAGATAGACTCGGTTAAATGTTTGGATATTTTGTTTTGAGGCACCCACGCGTCCGAGGAACTAAAATACGGCAAACTAAAAATCGAATCCGAACCGGGGGCTAAGGCAAGGCATTGGCCCCAAACGCAGCAATCGGACACAATAAACAAGCGGCGTTTATTGTTATTGTAAATTTAACAATTTTATTACCAATTGCAAAATGACTTAACCATGTTCGAGACAATTTTATGTTCGTCATAATTGGAAGTTGTTTTATTTTTCGTTTTGAGCGTTTTGTGCGCCGCCGCCTGAGAGGTTTATGGCAGCATTATAATTAATTTCAATTAATTAAAATACACTTTACTTATCGGCAATCATAATCATAACTCCTCCGGCCGAGCGGTTTCGTTTTTGAACTGCAATTGCGATCAGAACGAACACAAAGAGTCACGAAAATTCATTATAAACAAATTCCGTGGAATCTTCAAAATTAATTCGCCAGCGAAAAGTAATAATAAAAATAATATTAATGCGATCGATATGCAAATGGCGCTGATAGTCTCCAGCCGCTCTATCTGCGTATCTTTTGTACTCCTCCGTATCTGTATATCTTTTTCTTCTCGTATTTTGTGAACGAAAACAGAAACAGAAACAGAAAACTCGCCCAACTCGTTTGATTTGTGCAGAAATATGTTTTATTATATATATCGAACGATCCAGCGAGCCGAGAGCGAGTGTGGTGGCCCCAGTTCGTTGGCTCTGAGTTATCATAAATTATATTTTATGTGCGTGTGCGGCAAAAGTGGCCGGTGGACCAATCTGTGACTTGGTTTGCTTTTTAGGCTCGCCGCGATTAATTAGTCAGAGGCACTGGACCAGGCCAAACGGCTGTCAACTGCTTTCTCCCCTTGGACAGCTCACCTGGCAACAAGTGAGCATCAGTCGGTTAGCAGCAACAACAGCAGCAGCAGCAGCAGCAACAATTGCAGCAGACCAGCGATCGACTCGAAGACTAATTGTGGGCAGCACAAAGAGAAAAAAAAAAATACAAGAAAAAAAGGAAAACATCTGCAACTGCGGGAAAAGGAGAGAGAACACATGCTTCAACAAGAAATGTAATTGCATTCAGTTGGCAGCCACTAGCAGCAGCAACTAGCAACCGGCAGCATCCCCACTCCCGCCAGCAACATCAACGCATTGCAGCGAACAATTGCCGGCGATTAAGTCATATGCAGCCCAAAGGGGGGGACAGGGGTGGTGACCAACAGGTAGTTGAGTTATCGGGAAATGGGCAGAGATCCCGACCAGTCTCTGACTATTTTGGTTTCCTAGCAACCACAGAGTCGCTGGAATTCTGTGGGATACACAAAGGAAAATATGACAATGTGGGGTTTACATTATAAAATTATATAGATTTTTAACAGATCTTAAGAATTAAAATTAATTTTTTGTGCAAAAAGTACAATTAGGAAACCCCTTTTAAAGTTACATTTTGCTTTCTTATCATTTCACAGAAATAGGCAGCGATCAGGAGGAGAACGGCGGCTGCTCGCCGCTCACCACGGCCACCACCACGGCCAGTCCCAGTCGCAGTCCCGAGCCGGAGGAGGAGCACCAACAGGAGGAGCAGGCAAAGCAGAGCCAAGAAGCGCTTCCAGATCTAGAAACTGTTGAGGATAACAACAACATGGTGGTGATGAACAAGCCAAAATCAGAGGAGCGGGAGCCCAATGCCAGTGGCTCCATGCCGAGCTCACCGGTGGCCGAGGCCAGTGCCGAAGAGGCGGCCATTGAGAGAGTTCCCAAGCAGGATAAGGATAACAAGGACATCGAGGTGGATGTGGAGATGTCGGATGAGCCAACGCGAAGCGTTTTGCCCGAAACACAGGGAGAGTTACCGGGAGTTGCTGGCACTCCGGTGACCCTTGAGGTTATCCAAAACATGCAGATGGCCATTGCCCAGTTTGCAGCCAAGACTATTGCAAATGGCTCCTCGGGGGCCGACAACGAGGCTGCCATGAAGCAGCTGGCCTTCCTGCAGCAGACCCTCTTTAATCTGCAGCAGCAGCAGCTCTTCCAGATCCAGCTCATCCAGCAATTGCAGTCGCAACTGGCACTTAACCAGGCCAAACAGGACCTGGATGCCGATGAGGATCAGGAGCAGGAACAGGAGCAGGACCAAGACCAAGAGCTGGAAACGGACACCTACGAGGAGGAGGAACGCATTGCCGATATGGAGCTGCGCCAGAAGGCTGAGGCTCGCATGGCAGAAGCCAAGGCTCGCCAGCACCTGATCAATGCTGGTGTTCCTCTGCGCGAATCCTCCGGTTCCCCCAGCGAGTCCCTGAAGCGAAGAAGGGAGCATGACCACGAGTCCCAGCCCAATCGCAGGCTAAGCTCGGAGACCTCGCAAAAGGAGAGCTCCACCCAGGACGCGTTGGCCAAGCTCAAGCTCGAGATGGAGAACACGCCGCTCCCCTTCGGCTCGGACCTGGCCTCCAGCATCATTACCCACCACGACGATCTGCCGGAGCCCAACTCCCTGGATCTCCTGCAGAAGCGCGCCCAGGAGGTGCTGGACTCCGCCTCGCAGGGAATCCTGGCCAACAACATGGCCGATGACTTCGCCTTCGGCGAGAAGTCAGCAGATGGAAAGAGTCGCAACGAGCCCTTCTTTAAGCACCGCTGCCGGTACTGCGGCAAGGTCTTCGGCTCCGATTCCGCCCTCCAGATCCACATCAGGTCGCACACCGGCGAGCGACCCTTCAAGTGCAACGTCTGCGGCAGCCGCTTCACCACCAAGGGCAACCTTAAGGTTCACTTCCAGCGCCACGCCCAGAAGTTCCCGCACGTGCCCATGAATGCCACGCCCATTCCGGAGCACATGGACAAGTTCCATCCGCCACTGCTGGACCAGATGTCGCCCACGGACAGCTCACCCACGCACTCGCCAGCTCCGCCTCCGGTGAGCGCTGCCCCCACCTCGTTCGCCCCGGCCTTCCCTGGCTTGCAGAACCTCTACCGCCCGCCCATGGGTATCCTCAATAGCTTGGGTGCCTCTGCGCCACATCCATTTTTCCCGCAAGATCTGCCCACGGATCTGCGGAAGCCCTCGCCACGCCACGAGGAGGAGGAGCAGAATCAAGAGCAGGAGGGACAAATGGCGGTGAAGAGTGAGCCGGTAGAGGAGGATAAGGACCAACGGGAGGAGGAGCAAGAGCGAGAGGAGGAGAGTGCGGAAGCTTCAGAGCCCGAACCGGAACCTCTGCCCCTCGAAGTGAGCATTAAGGAGGAGCGCCTGACGTTTGATCCGGAGCTGGCTCAGGAGGACGATCGCCGCTCGGAACCGCCGAGAACACCCTCGCCAAGTCCCAAGGCAGAGCGCTCGCCACATCACCACCACCATCATCATCATCACCAGCATCACCAACACCACCGCAGCAGCCACCTGGGCTATCCCCCGGTGGTGCAGCCCATTCAGCCCGCTGGCCTGATGCACCAGCAGTCCTCTCCGGGCTCCCAATCCCACCTGGATCACCTGCCCACGCCGGGTCAACTGCCGCCGCGCGAGGACTTCTTCGCCGAGCGCTTCCCCCTCAACTTTACCACCGCCAAGACCCACTCACCCGAGCACCATTCCCCCGTGCGATCTCCGGCAGGAGGAACCCTGCCTCCGGGAGTTCCGCCGCCGCCACACCACCATCCGCACCACATGGCCAGATCGCCGTTCTTCAATCCCATCAAGCATGAGATGGCCGCCCTTCTGCCGCGTCCTCACAGCAACGACAACTCGTGGGAGAACTTCATCGAGGTCTCGAACACCTCCGAGACCATGAAGCTCAAGGAGCTGATGAAGAACAAGAAGATCAGCGATCCCAACCAGTGCGTCGTCTGCGACCGCGTCCTCTCCTGCAAGAGTGCCCTCCAGATGCACTATCGCACCCACACGGGCGAGCGTCCGTTCAAGTGCCGCATCTGTGGACGTGCCTTCACCACCAAGGGCAACCTTAAGACCCACATGGCGGTGCACAAGATCCGTCCGCCAATGCGCAACTTCCACCAGTGCCCCGTGTGCCACAAGAAGTACTCCAATGCCCTCGTCCTGCAGCAGCACATCCGTCTTCACACGGGCGAGCCCACTGACCTCACACCGGAGCAGATCCAGGCGGCGGAAATCAGAGATCCCCCGCCCTCCATGATGCCGGGTCACTTCATCAACCCCTTCGCAGCGGCTGCTTTCCACTTTGGTGCCATGCCAGGCGGTCCTGGTGGACCACCGGGAGCTCCCAACCACGGAGCTCACAACGGTGGCCTGGGGTCTGAGTCCTCGCAGGGAGATCTGGACGATAACATGGACTGCGGGGAGGAATTCGACGACGATGTATCTTCGGAGCACCTCTCTAACAGCCACCTGGAGCAGGAGGGTGACAGGCCGAGGTCGGGAGATGACTTCAAGTCCTTGCTGTTTGAGCAGAAGTTACGGCTCGATGCGGCCAGCACGAATTCTGTGCGACCGAGATCCTCTGCCTCGAGTCATGGCCACTCGGCGGGTTCAACTTCGGCGCCCACTTCGCCCTCGGTGAACCAACACCTTGCGCCGAAACGCAGTGTCTCGCCAGCCCGGTCGGAGGCCTCCCAGGGAGCTCTGGACCTCACACCACGAGCTGCTCCAACCTCCAGTTCCAGCTCGCGATCGCCGCTGCCAAAGGAGGAGCCTGTGAGTCCGCCCAACCGGCCCAGGAGCCCCAGTGGTTCCAGCGGACCCAGTGGCCATGCGCCCGCCTCCCTGCTCTCTTCCCCGTTGCCGCCGACCGTGGGCATTGATTGCCTGCCTCCCGGACTCCAGCACCATCTGCAGCAGCAGCACCAGCACCTGATGCAGCAACAAGCCGCAGTGGCTGCTGCTGCGGCAGCGCAACACCATCATCATCAGCAGATGGCGGCTCTGCACCAGCACCAGGAGCACCTGCGTCGGCAGGCGGCGGAGGAGCAGCAAAAGGCTGCAGCAGCAGCTGCGGCGGCGGCAGCGGCTGCTCAGCGCCAGAACTCCCCGCAACCTAATCAGCGGACAGAGAGCGGACCTGGAGGAGCTGTGCCCGGAGCTGGGGGTCCACCAAATCCTCTGATGGGCGCCCGGCCGCCCTTCGGCATGTTCCCCAACCTGCCACTCTTCCCGCCCGCCACCACGCAGAACATGTGCAATGCCATGAACCAGATCGCCCAGTCCGTGATGCCGGCGGCTCCGTTCAATCCGCTGGCGCTCAGCGGCGTCCGCGGCAGCACCACCTGCGGCATCTGCTACAAGACATTCCCCTGCCACTCGGCGCTGGAGATCCACTACAGGAGCCACACCAAGGAGCGGCCCTTCAAGTGCAACATCTGCGATCGCGGCTTTACCACCAAGGTGAGTTCTGGTTGCAATCAGAGTAGCTGCGGGGGGTTTTCAAGTTAACAGAGATTCGATCAGTTAAAGTTAAAGTCAAAGCAAATACTAATTAAAGTATTTATACTTTTTTTTATTCTTGCAGGGAAACCTTAAGCAGCACATGCTGACCCACAAGATCCGCGACATGGAGCAGGAGACCTTCAGAAATCGTGCCGTAAAATGTAAGTCTTCCAAGTCAAACTCATCTCAATCCTAGTCATTCCCACCTCAAAACCTTGGATTACTTACATATTGCAAGGGGTTTTTTGATCGTTGAAAAGGGAATTAATAGTTTAAATTAATTTAAAAGCTAGATTTCCCATTGATGGCTTTAGTTTCTTACTTAGTTTTTTCTGTATATATTTTAGTATTAATCCAAGAAGACCCTCTCTCAAGAACCCTCCCCAAAAACCATAATTATCACAGTTTTAGTAACCATTTTCTTTACTCTTTGCTCTCTTCAATTACAGATGAGTGAGTGTAAAGGTTATCGCAAATAAGTAAACACTCAGTTAGCCACAGCACGATCCGGATCAAGATCGCCAGCCAGCGATCTAGATCATCCTGCTCACTCCCAGAAGACGGCCGGCGATCATCCCATCCCGGTGGCCCAGACTCAGTCAAGATGCAATCGATTCTCGCAACCAAATGATCTCAAGAGAGGAGGGGGGTAGAGAGCGGCCGGTCGGTGTACACAAATCTTTTTATATTTATAAAATGTTGCCCACAAAAATATTATTTGATTGTTGTTCCGCCGGGCGAAAGGAGAAGTGAGAATGCTGCGGGGCTAGCTATGATCTACGATCGATCGCTCCGGCCCCGAGGTTATTTCATAAACAATTTTTTATGATAACATATCGGGGCGCGTTCCAGGAGAACCTATATATACCTATATACCAATACCAATACTGGGTAGGATCATGAAACGTATCCAAAGATGCATCAAAAGCGATTTGTGTTCCAGCTAAACAAAGCGAACCTGCAGAGGGAACCAAAGGCGGCTGGGAATGGAGAGACTGATGGCGTTTCATGTTCCACTCGGAACCAAAACTAAGAACGGAAGCAGGCACACAGTGTACTTTATATCTTTGTATCTGCATCCGTGTCTAAAGTCGCAGCAGAAGCAGCAGCAGTGAAGGCGTAGTAAAATCAAAATTCGAATTTAAAGCAAATCTTAAGGTATATGCTAATATAAATATAATAGGTACCTAAGCAAGATATGTGTAAATACATATATATGATATATTATAACCAAACCCCTCACACCCAAACAACCACACACACACACACACACACAACATGTTAATAATCTATTTGGAATGTGCAATAATATGACATGCTATAAATTTAGATGCGAACGCCGAGCGCAGGCTTTTGTTTCCTACTACTCGTAAATTAGATTTATTTTCCACTTCTGTACATACTTCGTATAAAACACACACACACATTATTAATATTAAACACACATTTCGAAATCCAAACGCTTTGCTTTCGAGAATGGGTTAGGAATAAAAACTGAGAAAAATCTAAACAAAAAAAAATATATATGAGAAATTGTGATATTAAATGTTAAAAAAAAAAACAAAACAAATACAAATTACGAACTGCGAGGCCCTGGTCGAGGTCCCAGCTAAATGCTTTCCATATCACAGATGAGAGAACCACAAAAGATATCTAACATTCATAGTTAATTTAGTTGTTAGCCGAAAGGGGACAATCCCCAACCGCCCACACTAACACACACACACACACACACACTCTAATTTCCCTTCATCGGAAGGATAACCCTAGACATAAGCGATCGTACACGTATTGATTACCACAATTAAATTATACACGGCTGCAAACCGTGTCTCACTCTCTGTTCGTAAGCATTAAGCATAGTCTCATAATTTATTACGCAACCCAAAACAAGAAACAAAATAAAAACTAAAAAACCACAAAAATAAATCTATTGAGAAGAACAAATAAATATATGTATTTAAGTTATGGAAAATTAATAAACCATCTTTGAGTTTTCCTGGCGGAGGGGCTGGCTCCCAGGGACTTATCTCGATCGGAGAGCAGTTCTGGGAAAGAGACGAGCCGAGAAAACGATTTCCGAGATTTTTCGTGGTAACAGATGGCGCGCTGGGCTGTAATAAAAATGATTAGCCAAGTTTATTATCGTCATAATCTTTTAATTCGAAATCGAAACAGAATATCGACGAGAGCCGATCCGGCGGATCCGTTCGTACCAACCAGAGAGCCTGATCTGATCCATAGCAATGAAATATTTTTATGGCCTTTTAAATTGATATTTTACCTTCAACAAATTTTTGCTGCCTGGTTTCATCGGGTTTTTTGTTATCGTAAGCTTTTTTTTCTCGTTTTTTTTTTTCTGGTTAACTTATTTTGGATGTGTTGTCTCCATTCCGGAGTCCACTTCGATCGCAGAGCCCGATCGCGCTTGGCTCTCTGGCATTTTAGTCGTTAATCAAAAAAATTCTTGTTGACATCGCTTTGTCATCTTTTTAATGACGGACACCCGCTGAGTTCTGAGTGTGTGTGCCTTGTCTTTGGTCAGAAAATATAAAAAGCAATATGTTTTGGTGGCTCATTTGCTTTTTGTGCCGGCTGATGGATGTTTGAACTGGTTTTCGACTTGGAAATGTCATTTACATGGGACCAGGTGAATTATAAAACAAGATGGGATTTGGAAAGCGAATGTGTTGTCCACAAGGAGAAGTATTATTAAATTTCTTAAAATTAAGCTCTGAAAGTTTAGTAGTCCATCCAGTAACCCCTTTGAACCAGCAACATCTGCTCTACTTAACCGCCGGATACATGACACAGCTATGCCGTCGGTGAGTAATTAACACGGTTAATATGCCAACTTGCTGCTGATTGTCAACTGACAAGCTGTCATCGCGGAATGGGGGAATAATTCCGGATCCTTCCATCACTCTGTCAGCGCAGCCCAGGATATGATCTGCTGTAGGTAGTCCCCTGTGTCTGTCAGCGGGCACCTTCAAGATGCATTTCTTGGGAGTCACACAACCCTTGCGGTTCCTACGAGGGTTGGGGTTCGAGTTGAGTTATGGTTTCTTTGTACATAATTCGAGGCGTGTAATTGCTGCTGCTCTCATTCCGGGCAGTTTATTTACAAGTTTTCAACACTGTTTTGTCATCATCACACATCCCAGGCGGCAACTGTTTTCTCTCCTTTTTCCAGCCTTTATGGTTTCCCCCCCCCCATTCCCCTGCGCATTTTAGTTTAGTTTAATTTGGGGCAATTTAATGGATTTACGGCACAAGAGGGCAAAACGTCTCCATTGCCGCAGCCGTTAAATGGCATCAAATTTAACTGGCGAATAAAGTGGCCGCTCCACGCACTAACTGCAGGCACCAACAACAATCGGCTGATAACTATTAAGATAACTACTGCAGCCATATTCGGACAGGGACAGGGATCGGGATCGGATTGAACTGGGTTTTGGGTTTGGGTCTCTCTCTCTTTGGGTTTGGGAGCCAGGCAAATCCTTGAAAGCGCTGGCAATAAATGCAAAAATCCTTACAAATAATATGAGAATGGTTATGGGCAGTGTGCGGGCTTATCGCAGGCATAAAACCAAACAAACACACACACACAGTCCCGGCGACAACGCAAACACCGAAAACAATCTAAACAAGAAAAATTGCACAAATTGCCCGGGCTTCAGTTCGGTTCTCAGCTCCGGGTCCATCGTCGTCTCAGAGCCTCTGATATCGCGCAGCTTCCAACGTCATCATCACCAACGGCTACCATGGGTGGGATACGTTTTTAACTGCTCAAAATGTAAACTCCGGTTAATTATGAACCCTTATTGCCGTTGGGCACTTCCCGATTCGTTTTTGTCCTCTGCCTTTGATGAACGACCCCCTCGATCGCATTTTGATTGCTTCCGTTCACTTTGAATTCGCCGATCGATATCTAAAAATGTATTGAAATTGTTATTGAATCGAGAGGTGAAACGGAATTTCCAGTATTCATTCAATTTATCTTTGTTACATTCCGCTGCTGTCGTCACATTAAATGTAAACCGCTTTTGCCAGGCAGATCTCACTTGAAAGATATGATGATGCAAATTTTTGTAATAATATTGCTTTGGGGTTAAAGGGTTCGGTTTAGAATGTTGGTTTTTTATGCTTTTTAAATTAACTTAACAATGACTTTATTTAAAAATATTTTAGTAAGAAAATATCTTTTATCAACTTGGGAAACTTATTGAAATGCTAGCTGTACAATCTGTAGGTTTTCTTTATCCTCAAATTGTATTCTGTCAATTTGTGTTTCCCTTACTTACTTTTACTACAAAATTACTATCTAGTTTCTATGATTACCCATTATTTTTCTCGGTTTTACCCCACTGTGCACCTAAACAACATGCCCAACGACACCAGCAACATCGACACGAGCAACAAAAGGCAATAACACCAACAACAACCACTGCCGCACACTCAGCGGGGTAAGGGGAAATCGAGGTGGTGAAAAACACTTGAATAGGAAAATCTAACGATTTGTTTGCATTTTTATTATTTCCTGCTGTTGCTGCTGAAATTGTCACAAAATAAAAATAAAACTAACAATCATTCCGGCAAATATCAACAGGAATATGCCAGCAGCTCAGCTCAGAGCTCCCTCGATGCCATGATGTCCCGATATATGGCTATATAGCCATATAGCCCCACCCCGCGGTGCAACACCCGCCTTAATGGTGTTTGAGTGGCCGTATCTGTGTATCGGCAAGTGTCAGTTTGGCACATCATTTGGCCCCGGACACACAATGGCGGCCTCCGTTTGAGCCGCCGCTGAGGAGGCCGAAAGAGTTGGTTCTCCTCCAGTGTCCCAGCATTTTGACGTCGGCAGATTTGGAGAGAAGTCTGCCAGCGATCGGCAGTTCAGAGACGCTTCTGAAGAACCAACTCGGCACAGGCTGCACGCTAAGAAATATATGGGGAGGTTTGTAGGTAATCTAAAATAGATAAAAAGATTTAAATACAATATATGATGATTCTTAGTCTAAATATAAATAATATTTGACTATATAGATTATATTTCTGCAGATAAGTTCCTTTTATTTATTATAAAAACCAATTTTTTTTGCCTGTAGAATCTATTCAGACTGCAGACCTGGACGATTTGCTAGCTGAGTTTGACATGCGTTCGCATTTAGGCAACATTATGCACGGGCTTAGCTGACAGCCAGCCTTCGCTGGAGCAACGTCCTCTCGAGGAAGAGGCTTTGTATATTGTACATATATCCCCGGTCACGTGTCGATGGCTCGTGGCTGTCTGCTTGGGTAATCGACACCATCATAATATTGCAGTGCCAGATTAATTGGCCTTATGATAGTCTCTGTGCTATTTGTATGATATTCTTGCGGCTTATTTGATTTAGTCCTGCGGTTGCCCTCTGGACACTTTTTCAGCAACCAGGATTAGCAAGACAACAGAAGCTGGGAAAGAAGAGGCTTCTGTTTAAGCTAAAGGAGAGTGTTATGGGATATAAAAAGGGAAGGATGCCCAGTCCTTTGTTTGCATTTGTGTTACTTTTCTTCCAGTAAAATATGATCAACATGGAGTCGATGAATGGACCCATCTGGCTGGGGTGGGTGCATGGAGTCCACTTTCCGCTGGCACGCATCCTGGCAGCCATTAGACCAAATGAGACCTGGGACCTCGACACAAACACACACTCACATCCCATCAGTCGTCGAGACAATCGAAGGCGATTGACTTGGCTGGCACGCCTTGTCGAAGTCGTAGTCGGATAATTTGCGTTGCTTTTCCCGCTTTTCCGCTTTCCCAAATGATGAGGCATTAATCGGGGCCGATCGGACCTGCCCCCGGGGCGTGGAGCTAAAACAGAACAAAACGGAGCGGAGAATTCCGGGTTGGGAATTCTAAGCGAGATGATGCCGGGCGCTGGACATTTGCAGCAGTCAGCGCGATTTACTGCTTGGCTGCTTACCCCTTCTTTTGAGGGGGTGGGTGGTGGGGAAAGGGGGGGTGGGTGGTGCGATTACATAGAAAACACCAAAGAGCGAGTCAACTTTCAAACCAATTTTTGCCAGGCGGCAGCACAGCGGAGTGCGCAGCTCAGGGCGGAGAGCCAAGTAGAAAATTACTACAGTTTATACTCCCGATACAGAGGAGGTGGGTCTGGCGGAGGACACACACAAACAACAATCCCGCAATCCCAGCAGCAATTTTCAAAATTTCAATCCCAGCACAGCTCGTTATACACTGAGCAAGGGTTAACACAGTTTTTGGTAATAAGCAGCATGTAGAGCGAGGTGAAGTCCCCTAGAAATATAATAGGGAATTATGTTTATCAAGGGATCTACATGATTTTGTATGAATATGGGTAATACTTGTATTATAAATGATGTTCAATGGGTGGTTTAACTTTAAAGTTCTTTCATATAATATTATATTTTTTTTAGATTTTTTACAGGGTATTAAAATGCATTATATTTCCTTATAAATTCTTCCTTTTTCAGTATCCTTGATTTGTTTGTTTCTGCTGTTGACGTTGGCAATGCTGTGCGGTGTGTGTTTTGGGGCCAACCAACGTTGCCAACGCTGCTACTGATGCTGATGATGAGTTTGCCGGCGAGTCGATCTAATTTCTCATGGCGGAATCATCGATTCATCGTTTTGTGCTGCGCTGTAAATCAACGGGACAAAGACCCAATCCGAACCCGGACCCGGATCGCTCGGCTCCAATCAATCCAATCCAGTCGACTCCTGCCACCCACTGTCCAAATCTAAGCGCTTCAAATATATTTCCCCCCGCTTTGGGAGCAGGAGCGCGGCATAATTGCCGTTTTGTTCGGTAGATACGGATGGAAAAGAGTGCTGGAAAATGGGTGGAAATGGGGGAAATGGGTTGGGGGCCACAAATACAAATTGCACGTTTCAACCCGAGCTGCATGTGTGTGTGTGA